AATTCAATGTCTTTCTTGAGGAAGGGAGCCCAAAACTGTACACAGTACTCGAAGTGAGTCCTTACAAGTGATCTATACAGTGAAACAATAATATCCCTTATCTTTTATTCAATATTTCTATAGATGCTACCCAAGATCCTATTGGCTCTATTGCTAGCTACAATACACTGTTTAGATGACTTAAATGATTTTTCGACCACAACACCAAGATATTTTTCTTCAACCACAATATTTATTTTATTTCTATAATAGACAGCATCCAGTTTTTTAATGACCTTAAAGAGCAACAGTTTGATAAACATATATTCTGTGCTAAGTTTGATGTTGAACCATTGTTCACCAATATACCACTGGCTGAAACCATTGAAATGTGTACAAAACTGGTCGAAAGAAAGGAGGAAACTGTCAGTTAAATACTAGTTTTATAAAAAAATTTAAACTTTGCTACCAAACAGTCTTATTTTGCCTTCAATAAAAAGACGATTAACTAGATGAAGTCACTATGGGATTAAACATAGTGCTAAATTTATGGAAGTTACTCATCTGTATTTATGAAAAACAGTGGTTGCAGAACTGCCAACAAGATTTAAGCCTTTTTATTACCACAGTTATATTGATGATACATTTATTATCTTTGAGGATCAGAATCATGTAGAACAGTTTCTAAATAAACAACATTGTAATATTATCTTTATGGTAGAATACCAGGCAAATAACAGCATATCCTCATTAGATATCCATATCACTAATGATAATGGTGTTTTGTCAGATTGTATTATAGCCAACTTTCATGGGACTTGGAAATATTACTCAATTTGATAATCATGTACCATCTATATTTAAAGAAAACCTGGTCAAAATAAATATTTGTGTATTGAGATTATAATATTATTTACAGAGAAATGTTTAATCAAGAACTTTTGAATTCAGAGAATATTTGTGCAAGAATTCTTATCCTTCCAACCTGTTGGTAAAGTGATGAACACCCAAATGAACAGACTAGACTACCTTCCAACAGCAACTTATAACTACTCAAAAAGAAATTGATACTAGTTTTACCCAATCTAAGAAAGTGTAAATCATGATTAAAAAAGAGAGTCAAGAAACTGATTAACAGATCCTACCAGCAAATTGATCTGAACTATGCTTTTCAGATACCAATGCAGACTAAAAACTTCATTCATTTCAGTAACTATGTAAACTGTTTACATAACTCCATGTTCATGTACCAATACAAATGCTCAAGTTACAAACAATGAGTATGAGGATCGACAGCCAGGAGACCAGAAGAACCAGTCAACGAGCAGTTAAACTTCAGAAGTGTAAACTCCATAAAAGCAGTAAACGTGTAAGTGCTCTGAGAAGAAGGATCATTGAGCTGTTCAGTGGCTGTAGTTACAGTTCAGCAAGAGTGAGAGGAATATACACACTTTTGAAACCATCACAATAAAACTAAGGAAACTAGCAATCAACAACTGGGAACAAGTGCTTCCACTTTTGCATTTTTACTTGTATAAGAAAAACATTATAGACAATTTGGAGTGTTTAATAGAAATATATTATTTCAAGTTTTGAAGTATTTTGTTGTCTTTTGAAAGGTCTATGGTACAATATTAAGTTTCAAAAGTGAAAGGAAAAGTTCGTGATAAAAAATGATCAGCTATCGTTGCCTCATTTTTGTGTCTGCAGTGCATAAAAGATATGAAACATTTGTGCATATGAACTTAGTGTATCATGTGTAATGCTTGATATAAAGAAGTTGAGTGTGATTGTTACATTGTATTGGTATTCAGATAAATATTTCTATTTCACTGTAGAGAAAGATAACTTTGCCTATTCTGCATGATGAAATGTATGCTGTATTGTTAATAAAGTTTTTGCATATTTTTAGTGTGTTACTGTTATTTTTCAGCAAACTTATAGTTATATATATGCAGCTACATACCATCCTTCATAAAAAAAAATCCTGTAGTCAGTTACTTATTGACTTGGTTATAATGTTTCTTATAAATCACAGATAAAAATATTAGTTTATCTGTATTCCATTGTTTTTTAAAACCTTTGTAATATAATTGTTAGTTGTTAATATTTTTCTAATATTGTTCACTGTTACCTTGTGGCTGATTTAAGTCTCAGAATGATCATCTATATTAAACTTCAATTATTTTGTGTATGTTACTAAAACTGAATACGATCATTTTGGGATATGTTTCAATAAGACTCAAAGTTATTAACTCTTCACTGTTTGCTGTCCCCGGACAGTTTTACGGTAAAAAAAAAGGAAAAAAAGAATTGGAATATTTAACATGTATGGCACCTTCTGTGTACATGGACTTGAACGGTTATGTCAGAGACCACAAGAATTCAGATATAGCCATCCTTAATATTGAACTACTGGCCATAAGGAAGGAAGGCAGCCAGTTACATCCATAGTTGAAAGTGTAAAGCTGGTTTTGAATCCTGGACCATATAGACATGCTTGGCCTCTAGTAAAAAGTACATAACTACGTTTTTCAAAGTTGTCACCCACAGTTTTTGATCTAATCTTGTGATAATTTGTTTGTGGAATGTACTTTAACTTTGTTTAGTTTATTACATAATGTTCAGAATTAGCTAAAACAAATTTTGAAAGTTTAACTAAGCTACACGTTGAATATACAAGACTTTTAGTGTAGGCTTATTTTGTGAATTAATCTTTAACGATTGTTTAGTTTTTTCATAACAGGAGAGTTAATCATTTTAAAGGCGATAGTTGTGACAAGTTTGATTACGTAACTCGGTAAGAGTAGTACGTTGTGCTTGCAGTATATTGTTGTCCAGGCTTAACTAATATTGTTGACGTCACATTACTCGAACTTTCAGTATTTTTCCCGTTGCCTTAACTGAGTATTGTTAAATCAGCGCCGTTCGCGCACCTTACAGAAAGTTCTAGTCCTCGATGTTAAACATAAAAGTAGGGGCGACCAAAAGAGCAGAAGTCAGTTCAAATGAAAAAAAACTTCAGTCAGAAGAAAGTTAGAAAACGTGAAGCTAGCCAGCGTGTGAATGATTTGCCATAAAGAGCGACATTTTAAAGTGAGTTTCACCGTTTAAATAGAGATAAGGAGAATAATTTGTCTTGTCAAAGGGTGTTATAAAGTAATTTAACCCACCTGTATGGACTTTGGAGAAAATTATTTAAGGTTCAGGATGCAACTGTGGTAACCCACTCGGTAACATAAGTGAATTATTCACTTATACAATTGTGATAACAGTAGGGAAACTAAGTTCGTCTTGACAACAGGTTTCTAAAGTAATTGAATCAGCCTAAGTGGACTTTTGACAAGAAAAGAGAACTGTTTAGAGTGTGAGATACCACTGTGATTTCCATAGTGTAAAACATTTGTGTAAATACGTTTGACTTGTTTTACATATATTAGTTTAACACAAGTGGAGTGTGTGCTGTCCGTTTATTGTCGCATTTATTGCCAACAAGTCACAGACACCTACTGTAGAAAAATCCTTACCCCACTCATATATATATATATAAAACCCTGACCCTACACGTGCAATAGTCTTCGTTTATTTGTTTTAGAGCAAAGCCACATTGGGCTATCTGCTGTGTCCACCACATGGAATTAAACTCCGGAATTTAGCAGCAGTATATCCATAAACTTACTGCTGACACACTAGGGTACTAAAATAATATAAATTCAAAACTAAAATAACAAAAGGCTAACACTGACTTGAAACATTAATTCAAAAAATTGCCTTTAGTGAATAAACTCCAAATCAAGTTACTTTAAAATGTTTCAACAGTTAATTGAAAGTTAAAGTCGAAAGTTTGTTTGTTTGTACTTAAGCACAAAGCTACACAATGGGCTATCTGTGCTCTGCCCACCACGGGTATCGAAACCCGGATTCTAGCGTTGTAATTCCGCAGACTGGGGACTTACTGTGCCACTGGGAGGCAAGTCAAAAGTTACAAAAAGGTTGTTGAAAGTGTATATGCCAT